GTTTTCTAGTATTAGTTGAAGAGGTTTGTTTTATATTCAGAGGAAATATTGAAGCAATCTTTTTGGGAAAGTTTTTGTCTGTTTTTTGTAGCAAAATCATACCAGTCTCAGAATAAGTAGGGAAGTGTGTCCTCTGCTTCTATTTTTGCACAAGTTTGTGAAAAATTGGTATTAATTATTCTTTAAATGTTTGGTAGAACTTGTAAGTGCATCCATCTGGACCTAGGAGTTTCTTTCTGTGCAGTATTTAATTTTTAATTGCTACTCAATCTCTTTTGAAAGATGTCTTCACATTGTCTATTTTTTCTTAAGTCAGTTTGCTAATTTGTTTCTTTAGGAATTTGTCCATTTCATTTGTTACTAATTCATTGGCATACAGTGAGTTGTTTCTAGTATATCCTTTTATAAATATTATTCCTGTAAGGTCAGTAATACTTAACCTTTCTTTCACTCCTGGCTGTAGTAATTTGAGTCTTCTTTATTTATTGCTATTGCTTATCCATTTTATTGATCCTTTCAAAGAATCAAAGTTTTTTTGTTTTGTTGATTTTGTTTTCCTGTTTCACTAATTTGTATCATAATCTCTTACTTCCTTGCTTCTGCTAACTTAGTTAACTCTTGCTTCCTCTTATTTTCCTAGTTTCTTAAATTATTATGTTTGATAATTGGAGATCTTTTTTAATATAATTATTTATAGCTATAAAATTTCTTTTCTGTACTGCTTTAGTTGTATCCCATAAGTTTTGGTCTGTTGTATCTTCATTTTTATCCATCTAAGTATTATTTCATTTCCCTTATGATTTCTTCCTTAACCTGTTACTATTTACAAATATATCAGTTTCCACAAATTGGTGAATTTCCCAAATTTCTTTGTGTCACTAATTTCTAATCATTCATTGTATTCAGAGAAGATACTATGTGTATTATTTAAATCCATTTGAGTTTATTAAGTTGTTTTAAATGAATGTATGTACCATCCTGGAGAATGTTTTGTGTGCACTCTAGAAAAAAAACGTTCAGCTGCTGCTGAGTAGATTATTGTAGATATGTTTGCTGTAGTTGGTTTTGAGTATTGGTCAAGTCTTCTAGTTTTCTGTCAATCTTCCCGGTTGTTCTTTCCTTAGTGAATATGAGATGCTCAGGTCTCCAACTATCATAGCTGAGTCAGCTGTCCGTCTCTCCATTTCTGACCTTTCTCCATGTCTTTGGGGGGGACTCTGCCCTTACATATTCACTCCTGCTTGTCACATCTTCCTGATGAATTGAACCTTTTATCATCATGTACTATCCCTTTTATTTCTAATTATATTTTATGCTTTATATGTCTGATCTTCATAGAGCCAGTCAAACTTTCTTCTGGTTACTGTTTGCATGATGTGTTTTTCTTGGGGTTGCTGTTTGCAGGGTGTATTTTCCTATCCTTTTATTGTCAATCTATTTATATAGATGAATTTATTTTTCTCCATATTTTTATTGGCACATTATAGTTGTACATATGCTGGGATTTGTTATGTATTCGTATGTACACAATATAATTTGGCCAGTATCATTCCCCAGCACTTCCCTCCACCTTACCTTTCTTCTGTTCTACTGATCTTCCTTTATATATGTTTAAATTTAAAAGAGTCTTCAGGCAGCATTAAGTCAAATCTTATTTTTATCTACATTGATAGTCTTTGACTTTGGATTGTTTAATCCCTTCACATTTAACTGATATTATTGGTTTACTTGGATTTACATCTGCTGTTTTACTTTTTTCTATCTCATGTTTCTTGTGTTTCTCTGTTGCTCTTCTAGTACTCTGCCTTTGCATTAAGTGAATATTCTATAGTGTAGCATTTTAATTTGTTTTTTCTCACTATATTCAAGTTACATTAGTAATTATTTTAGGGCAAATGCATCTTAATTTATCTGAATCTATTTATAATTTTTAACTAACAGTTTTTCAAGCTATAGAAAGATGTCTCCTGTATAACTCTCATTCTTTTCCTCCTCTTTTGCCTCTTACTGTTATACATGTTACAGCTATGTATAAGTCCAGTGGTCTGTTGTTCTAATTATTACTTTGTATCATTTTGTTGTTAAATAATCTGGAAGGAACAAGTGCCTGTTTATAATTTTTTTTACATTAACCTTCATATTTTCCATGTATCTTCTCTTTACTTGTTTTAAATAAGATCTTCCTCAGCCATCATGCCCTAGTTAACAACAGGGTACACTGTGAGAAATGTGTTGTTTGGCAGTTTTGTCATCATTTCATAATCATAAAGTGTACTCACACAAACTAAGACGGCTATGATGTCACTAGGTGATGTAATCTTATGAGACCATCATATCTGTGGTCTGTCATTGACCAAAATGTCACTATGCAACACACAACTGTATATCCAGTGTCAGCCAAAAAGACAGAGAAAAGGTTACACATATGGATTTTAGATTGTGCATGCACAACTAAGGGGTACCATTCTTATAGCAGTGGTTTTTGTATATTTAGTTTGACAATTTATTGGCAGATGACCAAAAATGTCTTGTCTTAATGATTTCAGTAACAGTTTTCTAGGATCTGGAAATAAAATGTCAGGAAGAAGGGGGTTTTTCTGAATCATACAGAGCAGAGTGTGATCCCTAGTGGCAGCCCCACGAGAGTCTGGATCTAAGAGATTGGGCGGTGCTTTGTCCTCCGTTCACTCTAAAGAGAATCAGCAAATGAGTAAGCTTGACTGCAATGCCTACCTTGAAACAAGCACAGGTTTCCTTCCCATTCACCTGGCCTCAGCTGTATAGTTTTCCCAGATGGATCACCACATGGTATCTTCCATGGACAAGCAAAACAGGGTTGGGACAAGTTCCTTTTGTGCCACAAGTATGAATCCAAGAAGTGGCAGAGAAGACCTGAGATCTTACCACACCTGGGCATTGGCCTTGGCACAGTGGTCCCACCAACAGGTCAAGCCCAGTGAATCCCAGACTCTGGCCAACCAGTCGAGCCATCCCTTCTCTTCCCAGCTTTTCTCTGAACACATTGTTCACACTAGACTGTGAATGTCCTTCTTAGTACAGGAGACCAGAGCCACATGTCAAGGGGGATTCTGTTCCCACCAAGGGGAGACCATGTTCCCAGCACTTGCCACAGCTCTTTGGGCATCTTCCCAAGGATGGTGAGGTGTAAAAGTTCATCTTGTTATTCTAAAACATCAGAAACAGGTCCTAACTTGGCAGGACGTTAATTTACTCTATGGCATTTAAAGCACTCAGAAAAATTCACACATAAGTGTTATTTCTTTGGGGGCGGGGTACTAGGGATTGAACCCAGCAGTGCTCTCCCTCTGAGCTACATCCTCAGCCTATTTATTTACTTAGGGACAGGGTCTTTCTAGATTGCTGAGGTTGACCTCAAACTTGCAATCTTCCTGCCTCAGCCCCCTAAGTCCCTGGGATTACAGGCCTGTGTTGCTATGCACAGCTGAGTGTTGTTTCTTTATCCTTTTGATTTACTGGGAACATGACATCTTGCAAGCCATGGACTGTCCATTATTCATCAAATTAGATTATTTTATGTCCCCATTCTGACTTTACTAGATAATTTCTGTGCTCTATTGAAACTTGGTAATTAAATAAATACCCAATGGAATTTACTATGATAGTGAAGTATTACGCTTATCTCCACTGCCCTGTAGTCGCATGCAGCCAGTAAGTACTTGAGCTGAACTTGTAAATTTTCATTTTTATTTAATTTTAAATAGTCTCAGCTGGAGGCTCTCAGATGAGATGCTGAAGTTATCATCTGAGATGTCCCTTTGCTTAATATTGTATGATTAAATCTTGCAAGGTACATTAAAAGGAAAAGCCCCCCAAATCAGTGCATAAAGCTCTGTATATAATAAAAGTCATGGACTAGGTCATGGAACTATATTATACAGAAACTGTCATAGATCTACCAGCCTTCCAAAAACTAAACTCTGACATAAGTGAAATCTAGTATATACATATTGTGTGGGGACCACCAACAAGAAACAGGCAACATAGAAAGTTCCAGGGGTCTGCCTGAGCTGCAGAGGAAGACCTACCTTCTGTGTTTCCATCTCCCTGTCTCTCATGCAGACTTCAGCAGAGGTGGGGGAGAGTGTTATTCCTGCTTGTGGGGAAAAATTGAAGGAAAAAGAAATCTTCAAAGCTGCAATTGGAAACATTTACTTTATGCAGATAGCAATTGAGTAAAAGGAATGAAACCCCTACTGCTCGGTGTAGTACTTTTCAAAGAGTATGCTTGTAAAAGTTTTTACAGTCTTGCAGACTCTTCCCTGGGAGTCTTTGAAGTCAGGAGACAGAAAACATTATTAGGCTCCCTCCTCAGCGGGGCGTGCCTTTTATTGTTTTCCAGCACTCATTTTTCAGATACATGTGGATGAAAGCCAAGCTGCACACAGATAAAACAGACATAACTAGAGTATCTGTCCCCAGGGAGAAGCATGATATTAACAGGGTTATGGGAGATTTTTTTGTTTGTTTAAAAAATGTAAATGCTTAACTTGGGATCAATATATATTAATGCCATTGTGATTTTCCCCTTCTCATATTAAAATGTAACAGTAATATTTTACACTGTGATTTAATTGCCGAAAATACTGTGGTAACCTTATCCCAGCTGCATTCTTCTTTTTAATTCTGTTACCATTTCAATACAATGAAAGCCTGCCACCCCAGTGCATCTGACATTTCACATTTCCTTTTCTCTGAGCTCATGGGAACAGTATAATCAGAAATAAAATAAAAATTTAAAAAAGAAATTATCATGTTCCTTCCCAGCCCATCATAGAATTAAAAAAATGTCACTTTAGATGGATCTAGAAAAAGTTACTTTCCCTCTCTGAAGGACAATGTGCTGCAAAGAGAGAAGTTGAAAGTCGCCCTAGCTTGACATTGAGAGCAAGAGCAGAGCCCACAGGGGAATTTAATTTTCCCGCAGGGGAATTAATGCTGCCTCATCCATTTGTCCCCAGGTCATAGATCTGTACTGGGGCGTTGATGAAGATGAATGGGACAGCCCTGAGCTCCAGAAGACGCGCATGAAGCTGCTGGAGGATTGCTTGAAAACTTCTGCAGGTCCATGTTTTGTTGTGGGTATAAAAACACTAATGCTCTCTATTAAACCATAGATGAATGTGACTGACAGTTCTTGCCGATTTGTGATTCTTAAGGGGCTTCTAAAAATCATGAAAATGGGGGAGGGGATTACATGTTTTAAAAATGTTAAACTGTCTCCTCACCCTCAACGTGTGAGAACAAAACCTTCTTTAGCTTTTCATAGGAAGCGCTGCAAGTTAACGATGAATAATTTGAAATGTTAGCCGAAGATGATTTCTACACGCTGTGAGCAGCAGTAAGGATTACAGTTCAGTCCTAGAGTTATTGGCGTAGTTTTATCTTATCCCACCATTTAGTTTATTGCATTATGGTATTTCCGTTTCTCAACATTAGAATTTCTGGCATTTTTTAACAGAGTGGCTGCATAGAATATTGAAGTGAACCAAATATACTGTGTCAAATCCACCAGTACAAAATGGTACCCTGTGAAAGAGTTCATTTCTGTAATGACTTTCAAAGGCTCATTATAAGCTAGAGATTTTACAAGTATAATGTCATTCATTACAAGTTCAGTATTATTTTCTGCAGAATGCTCACTCCTCTGGGTAGCATGTGATAGTAAGGTAAGTGAGTCCTTCTGTGGCAGGTAATTGTGTAAAACCACTGATTTGTTTAAGAACCTTGTCTTGAATCCAGACAGATTCTTCTAATCCATTGTAACAGGATGCTCTGAGGCTGGGTGGTTATTAATGAGGTCTATGAAGAAAATACTATATCATATCGTTAAAAGCTAGAGACAGTATATCCATAAAAGGTTATTAACATTTATATGCATATGCATCTATTTTCCTATCCACATAGGATAGGAAATCCCTGCAGAGATGACTTCAGAAATCTGACCTGCTAATGTCAAAGTTTTTACTAAAAGCATTAAAGGGAGTATAGAGATTTTGTATGTGCCAGGAGCTATTGTTAGTACTGGGAATATGGCAGAGTCACCCATATAAAAATGTCATGTAATCCAGATTCTTATGATTTAACTTTAGACTTGAATTCAGATAAAATTTCTTGTCCTCACTGAGCTTGCATTCTTATATGAATGAAAGGGGAGAGAACAGGCAAAAAAAAAAAAAGAGAGAGAAAAAAGAAACAAGGAACTAACTAAAGGAAACAATAAGTCAGATGGTCGTAAGTGCTATGGAGAGAAAATACAGAAAGAGGAGAGAGAATCCCAGAGAGGAAAAAGATATACTATTTTCTGTAGAGCAGTTGGAGAAGGCTTCAATGATGAAGGTGACTTGAAGGACAAATGGGAAGAGGAACTGGAAAGCAGACTTACATTCCAGGGAAGGGGAAGGCTCTGCTTCGCTGCCTTGCCTAAAGGCAGAGCATGGGAGTGTGGGCTTCTCATGGGCTTTGGAATCTTTTTTGTTGTTGTTAAGAGATGAATTATCCATTTTGGAAAGAAAACTTCATTAAGACAGTTCTCCAATCTTGACATTTATTATAACTATTTAATTTTTTTGCTCAGAGTAACAAAGGAAGCCACAGAAGTGTGTTGAGCAGAGGATTGAAATTAGCCAAGTCCCATCTTAAAGATGACTTTAGCTGTTGGGTGCAGAACTGGGCAGACCAGACAGACCTTTAGAGAGCTTTGCAATAGCACAAATGTGAAATACACCCAGTGTAGGGGATTGGAAAATGAGTGTCTAAAAACAGTGACCTGTGTTCTCAAAGATTCAGAATAGGCCTGAAAGCCATGATAATCATCTGAAGGAAGAATTAAAACACTTTAGTTGCAGAAAAATTAAAACATTTTCAGAGGATAGGACCAGGACTAGGAGATGGAAATTACAAGGAAGCCTATTTCAGTTCTGGGTGAGGAAGTCAAAGGGCATGGCTTTCTCTCAGGTTTGGGGGTCACATGGCCCTGGGCTCTGATTGTCATCGCTGAGTGGCACTAGATGACTTATTTCACTGTTTTAACAGTTTCCTTTTCTGAAAAGTAGAGGGGATAATAGGTATTTACCTCAACTTGTAAGGAGGGTATAACTAACAAAGCTGTCTATAAAAAATATAGACCACTAGCATGAAAGATAGCAGAAGTCACATTCCATCATGCTCCAAAAAGCCAGATGTGGAAAGCATCACACGATGAGAAGACCCTGGGGTAGCTCATTTGCCATGATCTTCATAACCATATCTTAATTCAGCCCAGGAAGTTCAGGATTGAGAGACATTCTCCTCCTTTTATAAACCTGTAGACTGCAAGTTTGTGCAGTTCTGAAAGTAAAAGCTAACTGATAGGGCAGGAGCAACAACTTCATCTGTCCTCCCTCCTGCTCCCTGTTTTAGGCTTAAACTCAGGGCAACCCGCAGTGAAACCCTGCAGAGCAAGCCAGGATTGTTCATCCCATAGTCCCAACTACACAAGGCTTGCTTTCTGCTTCTAGGAAAAAGTACGCCTCTTCTGGCCATTCCTGTTGAAACTATGGTAACAGGCATGTGTATCTTTTGCATTCAAACTTCCTTGCCTAGTGCTCCCTTCCAGTATTTCTAGAAATCAGGATGACCCCTGGGAGATGCAAAGCTGGGCATGTTACTTACCCTAATGCTAAAGTCTGGGCAAGAAAATTCACTATTACTAAATGAAAAAATATATATATATATCTTCACAGATACCAGCCCTTTATGTTAAATACAGATGAATTCATGACCAAAGTTTTCATTTTAAATACCCAAGGAATGAGGTCCAGAGGGAACTTCAACTTAAATATTATATGTGCTTGATGCTCTTCAACTTTATTTTTTAAAGCATCATTGGCATGTGGGCTGCGCTGGCAATCCTACAGAGCAGTTTTCACACGTTTTGGGGGCACAAAGAGGATAAGGTGCTAAAATAAGGGCACCTGAACATAATGTCAGATCCTGCTTAAGGAGAACTCACTCAGGAGAGATCTCAACTTAGGGAGAACAACATTAGTATAGGGGGCAGAAGGAGGAAAAGCCCTGAATTTTGTATTTCACAGCCTTGGTGAAGGCCCTAGTTCTGTTAGGCTGTCTACCACACTTTATCATATCCACAAAGATGAGGACATAATAATGGTAAGCATAAAAGTAAATTTTGAATTAACTTCAAAGGTTTGGTTGTGGGGATCAGATTGATCGTGTAGAGTTTTTGTGACGTTTACAAAAAGTTACACAACCATTAGTTATTTTTAAACTATGATTTAGGTTGTTCTCCAATGAGAATGAAATTTTCATTTATATTGAACATTTATGTGATCTTGAATGGTTTTCCCTTAAAAAAATGTTGGTGATAGTCAACATGTAAGAAGGATTAAGTCAAATATGAAAGTGTTTTAAAACTTCGTTCTTACGTCAATATTTTTTAAAAAGCTTTATAAAATGTACACAGTATATATTATTGTGCTAGATACAAATTCACTGGATTTTCTGAATAAAATCTTTACCTGCTCCCAAGGAAGATCTTGACCAGGGCTGCAGTTAACAGGGAAACAGCTCCCAGTTGAGTCCAGAGTCACCACCTGCCTCATCTTTAAAGTGTAGAGAATTGCCTCAGCTCATGCAGTGGGCCTCTCACCTGTCCCACCCCATAGCCCATTTAAATAACCTATTGGAGAGCAAGAGGAATACCACCTTTTGGAAAGAGCAGGATCCCTGTAATACTGTCTCATCTCCATTGTTCTCTACGGTGTGTACTTATGGGAAGAGGAAGTTTTCTTCTTGTTATCTCTCCAAATTTGGAACACCCCAAAAGAATTGCTTGTGGAGTTTGAACACTAACTCTGAACTCTGGAGTGAGAACCTGCTTTTGGGCAAAATAAATGATTTATCCATTTCAGGAGATTCAAAAAAGAAAATTAAATCTAAGGAAATTAGAAGACGAAAAGATACCCGCATCAGAATGCAACAGATTTAAAAATACTTCTAAAATTTTCCTAGTGTTCTTTGTACCTCTAAAGAGAAAAATCTGATATAGCATTTTAGAGCTAGAAAGGGCCTTAGTATCATCTAGTAACTAAGTGGTCTAAAATCCTGATTTTACACAGAAAAAAAAAAATGAGGCCCAAGGAAGTGAAACAAATCAGTATTTCCTGAGCTCCTAAAATTTATTTTTTATACCAACCCATTGAGCCAGCTGTCTTTTAGTCCTGACGTTGCAGGTGCTAAGATTTGAATGGTTTCTGCTTGAAGTCACAATTAGTGATATATAGAGACGGGCTTCCAACCTAAGTCTCTTCAGTCCCAGAGTCCACACTCTTCTATTCCAAGTCCCTAAATGGTTTTATTAGAAGCTGTGGTAAAGTGTAGACCCAAGTCCCTCCACATATGATAATGTCCTGTTTGTTTTCTTTGTGGCATCCTCTAGCAGTTGAGTGAGTCAGCAAGTAGCCACTGGTCTAGTGTGCAGTGTACTTTTCTCTGGTGGGAAATAAATCTGTGTTGCTCAAGGCTTTCTTAAGATTGTTGAAGTCAACTATTAAATTCTCTAATGAACCTGAACTTCTTCATCTCTTTTCCTTGGACAGAGAAACTTGAAGCTGCCTAAAATTTATGCTGGAAAAATGCCAAAAATGCAAATCACGGGCGGGGCAGGGGGAGTCATAAAGGTTTCTGAATTTTCCCCTTTGAATTTTCTTAGCATCTGCTCACAATACACAGTCCAGAGCAACCAACCTGAGAGCTCAGTATGGTTCTAGTAATGCATATTTCACATGGTGGCCTAATACAGCACAAGAAAATCTATGTAGTGCCCATCAAGCTTGAGACTGCGCTAAGTTCTCTAAGGTGTAGGTCAGTAGCATACCACTTCTATGCACTTCAGCACCACCTAAACATAGGGAGAGAGAGGTGCAGTTAAATATGATATATTTTGGTAAGTGGGACAGGGCAGTGTTAGAGCTGTGGAAGCCAAATGGAGAAGGAACTGTGTTCTGATTCTTGGAATATGAGTAATGTTTTTATAGTAAGATTAAAAGGACTAGACCTGGGACAGAGGAGATGAGGT